AGATTCACGACCCATGCATTCTTTACAATTTGCTCAATCACCACAAAGATTCATCCCTCGCCATGTACCACAATACCACAAATTCTCGGGGAACCTACAAAAAAAAACCCTTGACATAAAAGACTTTGGGTATAATGATATGTTTATTATTGTAAAAATTACAATAATTGTAGCACATAGACGAAGGGGAAGTGGGGAAAGGGTGGTCTTTGCTATCTATCCTTGCCCTAGTTAATCACAATCCCGATCCATTCATTCAATATAATTACCACAAGAACTCATCCATCACCATTCAATCTTACATATACCATAATACTACATGTATTTATTTCGGATAATACAGAAATTGTAGCATATGGCTGGTAGGGGAGGGGTCTTCCTTAGCTGTCCTAGTTCCAGTTAATATATTTATTTCTGATGAAACAGAAATTTTGGCACATGGCCAAAAAGGAGGTGGGGTTGAGGCTGGTCGTCACTAATTATCTTATACTTAGATAATCTAGCTAATCCGATTCACGACCCATTCACTCATTACAATTTGTCCATTCACCACAAAAACTCGTCTGTCACTAATCATTCCTCCGTACACCACAATACCGCATCCTCTCAAGGGGGTCCTACAAAACGCGCCTCATGCCATAAAAATCTGATGTTGCTAAAATTTATAATTAAAAATCTATGGATGACTAAAATGAGAGGGGAGGGAATGAACCCCAACACAAACTAAATATGAACACAAGTAAACTAAACATAACTGATGTTAGTAGGGCCTGTCAAACCCTCAAAACAGAGAGGCCGCTGTATTCTGCCCATTGGACAAAATCAAGAAGCTCTCTCGCTAAGGGAGTGGGAAAGGTGAAAATATAGACGGACATGGGAAATATAAAAGTTGACCCAGTCGAGAGGAAAAAAGGGGCCAAAACAAAATGGGGAGGTTGGGAATCTCAACTTGTATCATAACCAAACATGCAGCCGGGAACAGGCCCGGAACAACACTTACTCACATTAACTAGGTACACAAAAGCATATGACCGGGAGGGGTGGGGGTGGTCTTCCTTAGCTGTCTTAGTTCTAGTTAATATATTTATTTCTGATGAAACAGAAATTTTGGCACATGGCCGAAAAGTGGGAGGGGGGACGCTGGTCATCATTAGCTATCCTAGTCCAAGTTAATCCGAATCATGACCCATTCATTCATTAGAATTTACTCATTCGCTAAAAGAACTTATCCATCAACTCTCAATCCTACATACACCAAAATACTACATATTCACAGGGGACCTAGAAAACATCCCATGACATAAAAATTTTTGAGTATAAAATTATTATATTTTTTTTCTTTCACGCTAAAAAAATCCATCTATTTTTAATGGTGGCTCTTTGTCATTAAAATCAAAGCGCATGCTTATGTAAATAATATAAAGACAATATTATGAGCTGTCCTTACCTCCCTTTAAGTATTGATTTTAAATACTGGTACGCTTCCGTTTTGCCGGTTGTACAATCAAGAACGCGACGGCCATTTTGAAAAAGAAAAAAATATATATATAGGATTTGAGATACGGCAATGAATATGCCAAATGTATTTGACAAGAAAATTAGCTTGGATTACCAAACTAGACCAGATCCAGTGATGTATCCATTCAATGCAGAATTTGACTCTGTCGCTAGTAAGTTGCCACCCACTTCAAACCCGCAAAATTTGTTTAATCAAAACAATGTTCTTAATTCTCTACAGTCTAATGCTTAAAATTCGCTCGTTAGTTTAATTTATTCCTATTCTTCCTCTTTTGATATTTTGTCCTAATTGCTAATTTAAGCGGACGAAGTTTTCTTATAATCACTGTCTTAATTACCCCTAAAATGGTCTCGGTTGCCAAATATCCGCATTCTGACTATTATTTTTTGTGCCCTCCCACTCTGAATGCCCCCCGCATGATGTACACAATCAATGCCTAATTTACGACCTTGTGCCATATCTACGCTTTGTAAGTCAACCTTACCGCTTAACTTTTGACTATTCTATCATCCTAGTAAAGAGATTGCTGAAGACTATTCTGAAATGTACTATGCTGAGGAAACCATTACACTACCAATTGCTTAGTGCAGTGTTTCTCAACCTATTTTAATTCGGGGTGCACTTGTAAGATAACTAAAACACCAAGGTGCACTTTAAATTTAAATAAGGAAAAATTAGTCATGAACTTTGAAAATAGAAAATTTTGGTTGAGCATTCCTAAAGATTAGTTGTACAGTTTTCATTTAAATGGATTTATGAAGTGTTTTTTTTTTTTTTTTTTTTTTTTTTTTTGAGACAGATGAGGAAACATTATCCACTCTTATTTAAAGATTAAGGGATTTAGCCTCCCCTTTAAAATATCAAATGACAAAGACTTAG